GAGAAACCTGTCTGACGAGCTTGGCCAAATCCACTACCTCCTTGCGCTTCTTCTCGCTCATGCCGTCCACAAAATACTTGAGCACATTTGCCGTCCCCTCGCTGCTGCCGCTGTCGTTGCTCTGCTGCCGCGGAAACTGCAGCCGAAACATTTTATCGACAAATTCGCGCAATGACGAGGGGCTTGCCTTGTCCACAACCCCGTGCGTCGCCATGGGGATCAGCTTGCTTATTTCAAAGTTGTCTGACATGAAATACTCGCGCCACTCAATGTCGAGCGACTCCCAGTGTGGCTGTACCAGGAAATCCGTTATGTGCATTTGTGCCAGAAACGCATACTGCAAATACACGCGCTTCACTTCTGCTGCGTACTCGCTAGCCGAGCTGAATCCATCCGGAAGCTCGATGCCGTTGTCTGCGGCCATTCTATAAAAATTAACAAGTCTGGTGAGATGGGTGTTTTACAAAATGCAAAAAATAAAATTTACTTTGACATAGTTTTTATTCCTGTAGTGTATGGGCTAGATAAAGACATGTTTACATAATACGACAGAAATGCTGCAAACATTGGCCCCTTCACTTTTCTCTATTCGCTCGCCATCCCCAGCCCTTCATTTGCCAGGTATTCCCGGAGCGACTCGCGTAAAAGTTGCCCACTGGCCGGCCTCTCCGTGGCTTGTACGACTCGAGGGGCGGATAATTGCAAATATCACAGCACACTTAGTTCTAGAAGCGCTAAGTCAATCTCCATCCGTGACTGTTATAAAATGACTTTGAGGGTGTGTCTAAATTACTAATCGCTGGATACACAGAACCTTCCAATCTCAATGGCTGACAAAAAAACGCTAGTATTATGCATATGAGCGCAGCACCCTCATCCTCAGTATTCTAATGGCTTTTGCCAGAGCTCCAGACTCGGATCCGAGGGATGGAGGAGATTATGCGTTTCTATAAAAAGGGCAAGCGACTGCCGCTTGCCGTTTTGTGTTTGCTCTTCAATTATTTACGCAATATTTACCAGCAATGTCTTCGTCTACTATTACTCGCGTGTTGCTCAATGAGCATGTTCTGGGCGGGAATGCCAAGATCTCTGACTTTAAAACCGTGCAAGCGCCAGGCCCAACCAAGGACCAGCTGAAGGAGAACGAGCTTATCCTTCGCCCACTCTATTTCTCGATCGATCCTTACCAGCGCGGACGCATTTCGGGCGTAAAAGACAGCTACATTGCAAGCTACGAGAAGGGCCATCCAATAAGCAACTTTTTGGTGGCCACCGTCGTTGCATCGACGAGCACGGATTACAAAGAGGGCGACCTGGTCATTGACAATGACGGCAACTGGGAGACGCAGTATATTACTCGGGCCAGCGCAGTCTCTAAAGCGCCAGTGCACCAAGGAATTGACCCGAAGGACTACGTGGGCGTTCTCAGCCTGCCTTCTTTCACTGCTTACGTCGGTTTTGTGGTCGTGGCTGAGCCAAAGGCGGGAGACACCATTTTGGTGTCGTCGGCGTCGGGCGCCGTTGGACAGATAGTCGTGCAGCTGGCTAAGGCGTGTGGCTTGCGCGTAGTCGGAGTCGCCGGGTCTGACGACAAAGTCGAGTATGTCAAAAGCATTGGCGCAGACACGGCGTTCAACTACAAGACATGTGGCGATTACGCCGATGCCATTAAGAAGGCTGCTCCCAAGGGTATTGATATTTACTATGACAATGTTGGCGGCGAGCTTCTTGACGCCGCACTTGCCAACATCAACAACAGTGCACGTGTCGTTATATGTGGTGCGATTGCAGAGTATAACCTCTCGTCGCCAGACGAGCGCTATGGCATCAAGAATATGATGAACGTGTTGGTCAAGAAGGCCAAGATCCAGGGATTCCTTATTTCCGACTACTACGGCACACCGGTTTACAAGGACTTTGTTGAGCAAGTATCGAAGCTTTACCACGAAGGCAAGATCAAATATCGCCTGACTGAAGCGGATGGACTGGAAAATGCGGCGCAAGCTATTCTGGACTTGTTTGAGGGCAAGAACTTTGGTAAAAGCCTTGTGAAGGCGTAGTATCCAAAAAGAGCGACTTAGCTCGTAGGCAAAGCAATTAGCCTTTTAGCGCCGAATTTTGGAGCAGAGCACAAACAAAAAGCTTGGGGAAATAAAAAAAATACACATGAAAGCAAATTTAGTAGCTATTAATGACGTGCCTGTTTATGAGTAATGCGTTTTTGTGTTGCTTTTTAGTATTTAAATTCTTCTATTAGTTAAGTTAAGCACTTTTTGCAAGTCAAAAGACTAGTGTAAATAAAATAGGGGCTGTTA